GCCCTGGGCCAGGTGGTAAGTGGCAAGAGCAGGGCCCTCAGGCACTCACTCAGGGGAGTAAGATTGTCTTCCATAAACACGGTTTTAACAATGAGTCCGCAAGTGACTGTGGAGGCCAATTCTGGACCCACATGTCCTTCCACAGTGGGGACATTGGTTCCCGGGCGGGAGTTGATCACAGTGTGGATTTGCCAAGCGTGCCTTCCTCTTAGCACGTTTCTCCCTTGCATCCTGAGTTTGAGTGTCTTCAAAGTCCTTGACACCTTTGGCAAAGGCTGTTCTACAACTGGAGCGCTCGCAGGCCAGTGTTACCCAGTTGTCAGTGTTTATACTACATTTTTAAAGATTTGCCTTGAGACAGTCTTTAAATCTCTTTTGTTGACCACCAGCATTACGCTTTCCATTTTTAAGTTCGGAATAGAGTAGTTGCTTTGGAAGATGATCATCAGGCATCTGCACAACATGACCAGTCCAACGAAGTTGATGTTGAAGAATCATTGCTTCAACACTGGTGATCTTTGCTTCATCCAGTACACTGATATTAGTTCACCTGTCTTCCCAAGTGATGTGCAAGATTTTTCGGATACACAGTTTGATGGAATCCTTCGAGGAGTTGGAGATGGCATTTGTAAGTGGTCCATGTTTCACAAGCATACAATAAGGTTGGTAGTACAATAGCTTTGTAAACAAGCATTTTGGTTTCCCTGCGAATGTCCGGGTCCTCAAACACTCTGCACTTCAATCGGGAGAAAGCCGCACTCGCAGAGCTCAGGCAATGCTGGATTTCGGCATCAATGTTGACCCTTGTGGAAAGATAACTGCCTAGGTAGGAGAAGTGATTGACATTTTCCAATGTTACACCATTGAGTTGGATTTGTGGCGCTGCAGAGGGGTTATTTTGTACTTGTTGGTACAGCACTTTGGTTTTTTGGATGTTCAGCGACAGGCCAAGCTTTTCGTAAGCTTCTGTGAAGATAATTAGGATGGTTTGGAGGTCATCCTCTGAGCGTGCACACACTACGTTGTCATCAGCATACTGAAGCTCTATGAGGGAAGTTACGGTAACCTTACTCTTTGCTTTCAGCCTGCTCAGATTGAAGAGCTTTCTTTCCATCTGTTCGATATATGATTTCTATTTTTTTAAAAAAATAATATTTATTAATTTTCCAACCGTTTAAACACAACAAAACACTGACACATAAGACTAACAAAACAAGACACAAACCATTTAAAACACAGAACAATTTCAATATCTTATCTTTCATTCCCTTATTTCCACGACCTCCTCACACCTCCCTTTTTGTATTCCACTTCTGTTAATTGTTTCAGCAATTCCTTTCCATCTTCCTCTGCTTTCTATCCTTTAATTATCTTAACACATTCTAACCTTATTTTTCCCTTCAATACTCTATTAATCTATTTATACTTGATTCCTTATAGCATTTCTACTAAAGCCATATAACTTCATTCCAACATTTTTCTAACATTCATTATTTTTACAGTATTTCTATAAATAGTCTTAAACTTTTTCCAGTCTTCTTCCACCGACTCTTCTCCCTGGTCTCGGATTTCTGCCAGTCGTTTCCGCCAATTCCATATAGTCCATCAACTTCATCTGCCATTCTTCCCGAGTAGATAAATCTTGTGTCTTCCAATACTTCACAATGAGTATTCTTGCTGCTATTGTTGCATACGTGAAAAAAGTTCTATCCTTCTTTAACACCAATTGGCCGACCATGCCCAGGAGAAAGGCCTCTGGTTTCTTCAAAAGGGTATATTTAAATACCTTTTTCATTTCGTTATGAATCATCTCCCAAAGTGTCTTAATCCTTGGGCATGTCCACCAAAGGTGAACTCTAATCCTCAAATTCGTCTGTTTTTCTTTAAGTTCAGCCATAGTAAGCGTCAACTTATGTTCATCAAATTGCCTCTGTAGGGCTGGGGCTCTCTTTCTCTTTCTCTCCAGTTGTGTTACTTTACATTCAGCAACAACGGCTTTTTCTTTGGCTTCCTCCGCAGTTTGCCGTATCAAAGTAGGTTCCTGTATCAATTTCTGGGTGGTTTCTGTATTGGTATTATTTATACTTTCTGCATTTAAGTCAATTTTAGTAATTGAAACATCCACTTTCGCATTTATCGTGTCCATTTTCCTGTTAAGCTGATCCAGTGAGTCATTTATCTTATATAATGCAGCCACTAAAGCCTCTTCTGTCGACATTCCTCTTGGTTTTAAATATACTGGTACAAAGGCAACGACAGAAGGAGCAGGGGGGGGCTGATGATGGACCTCTCCTGGATTTTTGCCAAGTCCTCCCAGACCTTAATGTTTTGTCAGCAGTTGACTGGTCTGTTTTTCCTCTTCCATTTACCATAACACTTAAAAGATTCAAGGTCAGTCCCAGAGTCTCACGGTTTTTAACTCGCAGCTGGAAATTCCCCTAGCCCAGCTCTTATAAAGCAACCGGTTTCAAAGGCTTCCACTAGGGGGAAACAGTTCTATTTGTAATAGTCAATAGTATCCTCTTTTAAGCAATCCAAAATTAGTTTCAATTTTCAGTTACTTTTACTCCTTTTTAAAGCAGCCGGAGACAGTAGAAACAATGTATTTCTCTTGTTTAACTAGCTGTCAATGAATGTTCTAAACGCTGTCAATGAACATTCCACAATACGTCAGTCCTCCTAGCAGCCCGTTTCCAGGGTCAGAGCGGCGGTGTTTTAAATCCCTTCGCTCTCTCCCACAGGCATACTCAATCCGCAACTTCCCCCTCTCTTCTCCTGCCTCCAAGAGGGGGTTTAATGTTCTTTACCGATGGAAATTTAATCTTTTACAAAAGGCTTTCCAGGACTCCAGCTTGCAACTTCATTGCCTCAGTCTATTTACAAAAGGGGAAGGCGGACTTCCTGTTTTGAACCTCCCCGTTACGGTACCAAATTAAACATTTAGAAATTCTTCCGCTTCAGCTCTACTCACGGGTAATTACTTTAAAGTCAAATTGTCCACAGGAAAAGGTCAGCGCTCTCCGGCAACAGCTATGCCGCTTCGCTCCGTGGAAGAAGCAGACGATTCGATGCACCGCGCCGCTCACCCCACGTCGCTCCGGACCCCCAAAAAACGGGGTTCCACGCGAGTGGGGGAGGTGCAAAAGGTGCCCGCCGAATCCCACGCTCACAGGCTTCTCCCGCCTGTGATTTTAACGGGTCTCCGCCTTCGCCGTGGCGGCCAGACCCAGATTCCCACGGAGCAGATTCCTCCCGGTCAGAGGAATTCCGCCATTACCGGAGGCACCTCCCAGAAGTCTCGATATATGATTTCTACTCCAGTGGTGAGTTACACTTCGACAAAGTGTAGGATCATGGTAATGAAAATAATGAATAGAGTTGGGGCAATAACACAACCCTGTTTAACACCTGATCCCACTGTGAATGGTTCACTTTGAGAGCCATTGTTATCTGTGATTGTTGCTTTCATATTATCATGGAGGAGCCGAAAGATGTTTACAATTTTTTTTTTTTCAAACAGAGTTTGTAAATAATTTTTATTTAAGTTTTGAACAACAAAGGAAGAAAAGAAAAACATACACAATACATATCTCAAAAAAAAGACAAAAAAGATAACAAGAACAAACAAAAAAGAACACAATTCAACAATAAAAAACAAAAAACCTAACAATTAAAAACAATATCTCTTTTCCATTTCCGTTTTTTTAGTTTACTTATTTTCTGGACTTCCTCATACCTCCCTCTTTTGTATTCCAATCCAAATTGTTTGTCCAGCTATTTCTTTTCAACTTTTTTAATCCCAATCTTTAACTTTAATATAATATTGTAATATATATCTTCAATTTCTTTAAACCCGATCTTTAATCTTAATATAATATCATTAAAATTTTCCCTCTTAGTTGTCAGATTTCCATTTCTTTAAACATTTTTAATCCTAATCTTAATCTTATTCTATCATTAACTTTAACCTGTACAGCTGGAAACCGCTTATTTTCAGTCCAACATCACTCTAACATTCTTTAATTTTACAATGTTTCTGAAGATAGTCTTTGAATTTCTTCCAATCTTCCTCCACCGACTCTTCTCCCTGGTCACCGGATTCTACCAGTCATTTCCGCCAGTTCCATATAGTCCATAAGTTTCATCTGCCATTCCTCCAGCGTGGGAAGTTCTTGTGTCTTCCAATATTTTGCGATGAGTATTCTTGCTGCTGTTGTTGCATACATAAAGAAAGTTCTATCCTTTTTTAACCCCATTTGGCCGACTATGCCCAGGAGAAAGGCCTCTGGTTTCTTAGGGAAGGTATATTTGAATACCTTTTTTAATTCATTATATATCATTTCCCAGAAAACCTTAACCTTTGGGCACGTCCACCAAAGGTGAAAAAATGTACCTTCAGTTTCTTTACATTTCCAACATTTGTTATCGGGCAGATGATAAATTTTTGCAAGCTTGACTGGGGTTATGTACCACCTGTACATCATTTTCATAATATTCTCTCTTAAGGCATTACATGCCGTAAATTTCATACCCGTGGTCCACAACTGTTCCCAGTCAGCAAACATAATGTTATGTCCAATGTCCTGTGCCCATTTAATCATAGCCGATTTTACCGTTTCATCCTGAGTATTCCATTTCAGCAGCAAGTTATACATTCTTGACAAATTCTTAGTTTTGGGTTCTAAGATGTTTACAAATTCATCTGGGCAGCAATTTTCAAAAGGACAGTCCACAGGGCATTACGATTTACAGTGTTGAAAGCCTTAGTCAGGTCGATAAACGCCATATACAGGGATTGGTTTTGCTCTCTGCATTTTTCCTGAAGTTCTTGAGCGGTGAAAATCATGTCCACTGTCTCCCTAGAAGGCAGAAAACCATTTTGGGATTCAGGAAGGGTCACCTCAGATATTGTTAAGAGACGGTTTGCTAAGATCCTTGCAAGAATTTTGCTGGCCACAGCTAATAGAGAGGTGCCTCGATAGTTTCTGCAATCAGTTCTGTCACCTTTTTTTAAACAGATTGATAATTTTGGCATCCCTGAAGACTGCTGGGATTGCTTCTCTCTCCCAGATTTTTTTGATGAGCTTGTGAAGTTGTTGTGTAAGTTCAATTCCACCCACTTTGAAGATTTCAGCAGGTATCCCATCAGGTCCACTGGCTTTGTTGTTTTTCACTTGGTTAATAGTTGTACACACCTCTCCCAGATTTGGAGATACTGCAAGCTCATCTCTAATTTGTTTTTGCGGGATTTGTGAGAGGACCTCAGCAGCTATGGGGGAGTTGTGGTTAAGGAGATGTTGGTAGTGTCCTTTCCAGCACAGTGCAATGGCTTCTTTATCTTTTAGAAGTGTGGTACCATCTGCTGAGCGTAGGGGGCATATGCCATGATTTATTGGTCCATAGATGGTCTTTGTGGCTTTAAAGAAACTCTGTGCATCATGAGTGTCGGCTAAGTGCTGGATCTCTTGAGCTTTTTTTTTATCCACCAGGTGTTTTTTAGTTCTCTGGTTCTTAGCATTGGCATAGGTTTTTTTTTTTCCCTTAGTGGCACAGTCTCTATCTCTTTGCCAGATCTGAAATGCCTTCCTTTTCTTGTCAATCATGCGTTCAATCTCACTGCCATTCTCATCAAACCAGTCCTGGTGTTTCTTGGTTTGGTATCCAATAGTTTGTTCACAGGCTGCAATAATGGATGTTTTTAGCTTGGTCCAGTGTTCCTTGATGTTATCAGGGAATTCTGAAAGCAGATGGTCCTTAAGAGTCGTTTGGAAGCAATCCCGCTTAATGGGATCTTGAAGGGCTTGAGTGTTCATTTTGTGCCTTGGTTTCCTTCCCTGAAGCCTGCATTAAGGTCTAATCTTGATAGCCATCGAGGAGCGTATTAGTCCGTGATCTGTCCAGCAGTCGTCGGTGCTCATCATAGCTCTGGTAAGGAGCACATCACGTTGATCTTTAGCATGGACTATAACATAGTCTAAGAGGTGCCAGTGGTTTGACCGAGGATGCCTCCATGAAGTTTTAAATTTATTTTTCTGTCAAAAGAGTGTTTTGGTAATAACAAGGTTGTGTGGAAGCGAAAGGAAAGTTCAATGCTGTAAAGACAAATATTGCATAGGAACCTGGAATGTAAGAACCATGAACCTGGGTAAGTTGGATGTGGTCAAAAATGAGATGGCAAGAATAAATATTGACATCCTGGGCATCAGTGAACTAAAATGGACGGGAATGGGCGAATTCAGTTCGGATGACCATCACATCTACTACTGTGGGCAAAGAATCCCGTAAAAGAAATGGAGTGGCCCTCATAGTCAACAAAAGAGTAGCGAAAGCTGTACTGGGATGCAATCTCAAAAAATGATAGAATGATCTCGATACGAATCCAAGGCAGACCTTTTAACATCACAGTAATCCAAGTTTATGCACCAAGCGCTGGTGCTGAAGAAACTGAAATTGACCAATTCTATGAAGACTTACAACACCTTCTAGAAATGACACCAAAGAACGATGTTCTTCTCATTATAGGGGATTGGAATGCTAAAGTAGGGAGTCAAGAGTTCAAAGGAACAACTGGCAAGTTTGGCCTTGGAGATCAAAACGAAGCAGGGCAAAGGCTAACAGAGTTCTGCCAAGAGAACAAGCTGGTCATCACAAACACTCTTTTCCTTTTTAAAAAAAAATATGATTTTTTTTGAAATTTACAATCACCAACCAACCCCCACCACCCACCACCAAAACATCACATCTTGTTACATGTATCCTACTTTGTGTTTCATAGATCCATTAGCTTCCATCCTTCCCTTCCACCAGTTTTCCTATTCCATTCTATAGTTTACAGATTCTTTAATTATAAATTATACCATGACATGAGAATTATTTCAATCCTGCCAACGTTTTCATATTTGTACAATTCTCACTTATATAAACCATAAATTTACTCCATTCTTTTTGGTACTTTGTCTCCTCCTGATTGCGAATTCTGTGTGTCAATTTAGCCATCCATCTCAGCATACTCAACCAACTTTATCTGCCATTCTCTTATCGTCGGCATCTCCTGTTGCTTCCACTTTAGAGCTATCAGAGCTCTGGCTGCAGTTGTTGCATATAAATATAATCTTTGATCTATCTTTTTAATCCCTTCTCCCACCAAACCTAGCAAAAATTCTTCCAGCTTTTTGGGAAAACTGTACTTATACATCTTTTTTAACTCATTGTAAACCGCATCCCAAAACTCTTTTATTTTATTGCAAGACCACCACATGTGATAGAAATCGCCGTCTTTTCCTTGCACTTCCAGCAGGTTTTACTACTTGTTCTATACATTTTTGCCAATTTGGTGGGAGTGAGATACCAATGATAAACCATCTTCATAACATTTTCTTTTAAGGCAGAACAAGCAGTGAATTTTATGCTCTCATTCCAGAATTTGGCCCATACATCATATTCTATGTTATGTCCTAAATCAATAGCCCATTTTATCATAGCCTCTTTTATAAATTCATCTTTTGTGTTCCATTCTAGTAAGAGATTGTACATTTTTTATAATAGCTTGGATTTACTCTCTAAAATATCTATTTGAAATTTCAATTTTTTGTCCTCAAATCCTATTTTTTTTATCCTCTTTAAAGACATCATTGACTTGATGGTATTGCAACCATCCTGTCAATTTTTCAGCAATACACTCATAGGGCTTTAATTTCCAACCTTTTTTCAGCCTTCATCAAAATTTTCTCATATGTGGCCCCTCTCCCTAGTATGTTCAGTTTTTTAACTATTAATATATCAATTGGTGACAGCCACCATGGTGTTTTCCTTTCCAAAAAATTATTGTTTCTTTCCCAGACTTCAAATAAGGCACCTCTTATCACATGATTTGTAAACCCCTTATGCACTTTTGCCTTACCACACCAAAGATAAGAGTGCCATCCAAATCTATTGTTGAACCCCTCCAAATCTAACAAGTCTAGGTTCTCCTGAATCCTTTGTCCAACATAAACATGCCGCTTCATAATAGAGTTTCAGATCAGGTACTGCAAACCCCCCTCTTTCCTTCTTATCTGTCAATATTTTAAAATTAATTCTTGGTCTTTTCCCTTGCCATATAAAACGTGAGAGGGTTTTTTGCCACTCTATGAATTGTCTTAAACCTCTTATTATCGGAATTGTCTGGAACAGAAACAACATTTCACAAACACTCTTTTCCACCAAACAAGAGATGACTCTACACATGGACATCACCAGATGGGCAGCATCGAAATCAGATTGATTCTATTCTCTGCAGCCAAAGATGGAGAAGCTCTATACAGTCGGCAGAAACAAGACCTGGAGCTGACTGTGGTTCAGATCATCAGCTTCTTATAGCAAAATTCAAGCTTAAACTGAAGAAAGTAGGAAAACCACTGGGCCAGTAAGATACAATCTAAATCAAATCCCTTATGAATGCACAGTGGAAGTGAGGAACAGGTTTAAGGATTTAGATTTGGTGGACAGAGTGCCTGAAGAACTATGGATGGAGGCTCGCAACATTATACAGGAGGCAGCAACTAAAACCATCCCAATGAAAAGGAAATGCAAGAAAGCAAAGTGACTGTCCAACGAGGCCTTACAAATAGCGGGGGGAGAGAAGGCAAGCAAAATGCGAGGGAGATAGTGAAAGATACAGGAAATTGAATGCAGATTTCCAAAAATAGCAAGGAGAGACAAGAAGGCCTTCTTAAACGAGCAATGCAAAGAAATAGAGGAAAACAATAGAATGGGAAAAACCAGAGATCTGTTCAAGAAAATTGGAGATATGAAAGGAACATTTCGTACAAAGATTTCCATAATAAAAGACAAAAGTGGAAAGGACCTAACAGAAGCAGAAGACATCAAGAAGAAGTGGCAAGAATACACAGAGAAATTATACCAGAAAGATATGGAGAACCTGAGCTTACAGGGTTAAACAGCTCAGAGTGTACTCCCTACTATGGGGAGGGGGGAGATTCTGCGTCATATCCGAGAGTCTAAACCCTTTGTTCTTTCTCTCTACTTTCGCTTTTGAGGAGAGTGGACGTGTTTTCACGATGCTGTTCGACAATGGATAGTTTGCTGTAAATAAAAAACTGCTTCTAGCTGCTAATATCCTGAGTGGACTTTATTTAAGCATGCTGGAGTAAGCACTGGAGCTTACAGCTTTCTCTGACCGCTGCTGCTGAACTCTGCTTTTGCTCAGAGCATTGGAATGCGGAGCTTGAAGAATGCCGAGGCCTGGCAGCAGGAGCTGCGCAGAGGTAGCGCACCGGACGCCAGGATTTATCTGAGCAATAAATCTTCTTCAGTACTGTGGTTGCTGACCTTGAGCCAGACATCCTGGAGAGTGAAGTCAAATGGGCCTTAGAAAGCACTGCTAATAACAAGGCCAGTGGAAGTGATGATATTCCAGCTGAACTATTTAAAATTTTAAAAAGATGATGCTGTTAAGGTGCTACACTCAATATGCCAGCAAATTTGGAAAACTCAGCAGTGGCCAGAGGATTGGAGAAGATCAGTCTACATCCCAATCCCAAAGAAGGGCAGTGCCAAAGAATGCTCCAACTACCGCACAATTGCACTCATTTCACACACTAGCAAGGTTATGCTTAAAATTCAAGGCAGGCTTAAGCAGTATGTGGACCGAGAACTCCCAGAAGTGCAAGCTGGATTTCGAAGGGGCAGAGGAACCAGAGACCTAATTGCAAACATGCGCTGGATTATGGAGAAAGCTAGAGAGTTCCAGAAAGACATCTATTTCTGCTTCATTGACTATGCAAAAGCCTTTGACTGTGTCGACCACAGCAAACTATGGCAAGTTCTTAAAGAAATGGGAGTGCCTGATCACCTCATCTGTCTCCTGAGAAATCTCTATGTGGGACAAGAAGCTACAGTTAGAACTGGATATGGAACAACTGATTGGTTCAAAATTGGGAAAGGAGTACGGCAAGGCTGTATATTGTCTCCCTGCTTACTTAACTTATATGCAGAATTCATCATGCGAAAGGCTGGGCTGGATGAAGCATTAAGATTGCCGGAAGAAATATCAACAACCTCAGATATGCAGATGACACAACCTTGATGGCAGAAAGTGAGGAGGAATTAAAGAACCTTTTAATGAGGGTGAAAGAGGAGAGCGCAAAATATGGTCTGAAGCTCAACATCAAAAAAACCGAAGATCATGGCCACTGGTCCCATCACCTCCTGGCAAATAGAAGGGGAAGAAATGGAGGCAGTGAGAGATTTTACTTTCTTGGGCTCCATGATCACTGCAGATGGTGACAGCAGTCACGCAATTAAAAGACGCCTGCTCCTTGGGAGAAAGGCAATGGCAAACCTAGACAGCATCTTAAAAAGCAGAGACATCACCTTACCAACAAAGGTCCGCATAGTTAAAGCCATGGTTTTCCCAGTAGTGATGTATGAAAGTGAGAGCTGGACCATAAAGAAGGCTGATCGCCGAAGAATTGATGCTTTTGAATTATGGTGCTGGAGGAGACTCTTGAGAGTCCCATGGACTGCAAGAAGATCAAACGGATCCATTCTTAAGGAAATCAGCCCTGAGTGCTCACTGGAAGGACAGATCGTGAAGCTGAAGCTCCAATACTTTGGCCACCTCATGAGAAGAGAAGACTCCCTGGAAAAGACCTTGATGTTGGGAAAGATTGAGGGCACAAGAAGAAGGGGACGACAGAGGACGAGATGGTTGGACAGTGTTCTCGAAGCTACAAACATGAGTCTGACCAAACTGCGGGAGGCAGTGGAAGACAGGAGTGCCTGGTGTGCTCTGGTCCATGGGGTCACGAAG